AAAGGCAGCGAGCCGGCCGAGAAAAAATCGCATGCCGTGGTGTAACGCATGTTGAAGTAAGCCTGCGCGCAGGTCAGTCGTTGTCGAGACATCTGAGCAGCTCCGAGCGGTTTTGGCGCTGAAGGGCTTCGGCCCTCATGCTTCAGCCCTGTCAGCCCCAAGACACCCCAAAAATCCTTAACAACATCATCGTTTTCATCCAAGTTGAACCCTAGGCCCGAATTAGTAGTTAACTCTCCTGAACCGTTGACCGTTAACCCTAAACACCGTAAACCCGTATAAACCACAAAGCCTCAAAACTTGAAGCGTCTGGGTGCCGAAGCGTTCAAGAAGCACTTCCAATTGCTTGAAGATGGCCGAAAGATGGCTGAAACCTTGAATAATCAAAAACCCTAAACCACCTAAGCTTAAACCCTAAGATAAAGTCAAGCCCAAGCTTTGCCAGAACGGCCTGGTTGCACAGGCTTTCAAGGCTGGCCACACTTTGTCGAGAGCTGCCTTGTTCTCCTTGTCTGCGTTGCGGCAATGTTCTACAAATGCATTCGTTCCAAAATTTTTTTGCCTAAGACAGAGTCAAGCCCCGGCCTGGTTGCACAGGCTTTCAAGGCTGGTCCAAAGACGTTATCAGCCACACGTTGTCGAGAGCTGCCTTGAGTTCTCCCTGTCTGAGTTGCGGCAATGTTCTAATACTTCTCGCTGAATTTGCACGCCTAGGAATCTAATGTTTGTCGTTTAACCCTACACAACTCTAAAGACCCTAAACCCTAACCTCAAGGCTCAAACCCAGGCTTTGCCAGAACAACCCTAAACCCTAAAGGCTCAAACCCTAAACCCTAAAGGCTCAAGCTTAGGCTCCTGTCTGAGCACGATAAGCTAAGGCTCAAGCCTGACAGGCCAGTGGCAATTTGTGGTCATTGTTTAAGTTTGCTATCACACATAGTGCAATACGTCATGGTTCAAACCATGCTTCTGATGATAGCATGTTGGGGCTTATTGCCTGAAGGCCCAGATACAAAACGGAGGCCCAATTAATTGGGAACAGGCTTTCTGGAAGATCCAGATACATCATTGTTCCCAACTTTGCTGGAGGGAGCCCCGTCAGGTTACTTTCAGGACATTCCTCCCAGTCGAGTTTTCATTCCTCTGGGAAACGAGTCAGCACCTCCTACTGATCAGCTGATCATTCACGATTCCAATTGGAAAGGCGCCCGTGAAAACCCGGAGGTTTTGGAATCGCTGATTCAAGACGAGTTGGCGAACAACTACATCGAGGAGGTCCCTCTGGAGGAGGCTCGGCGACGCTGGGAGCATGTCGCAGTGGGGAAGCTAAATGTGGTGATAGTTCCAGAGAAGAATCCTCGTCTCACAGTGGACGAGACGATTTCAGGAGTTAACCCGGCATGCAGCATCCCTGAGCGCTACAATCTACCCGGCCTTTCGGATCTCCAGGCGGGTTATCCTCTTCGGGGTCCAGCTTCGGCGCTAGGCGTCTTTTCTCTGGACGTCAAGGCAGCTCATAAATCCATTCTTTTGCGGGAGCAGGACAGAGGTCTGGCTGGCATCACTTTTCAGGGCCGGACTTTCTTCTACAGGGTTATGCCGTTCGGCATGTCATGCAGCGCATACTGGTGGCAGCGGTTGTCAGGCTTCCTGGTAAGGACGTGGCACAGTCTTCTGTGGCTGAGCCACTTCCTCAGCATGTACGTTGACGATCTCATCTTGGCAATGCAGACTGGTGCCTTGGACATATCGGCGTGCCTAATCCTGGCCTTTGCGGCAGTTTTCGGGGTGCGCCTCTCGTGGCCTAAGCTACAACTGGGGTCTTCGGTAGTCTGGATCGGATGGAGCCTGAACTACAGGGCAGGAACGGTTCAGGTTACTGCAGCAAAGAAGGAGAAACTTTCACGTGTCCTTCGCCCTCTTTTGGGAGAGGGCAGAGTGGAGCTCCGTGAGCTTCAGAAAGCTCTGGGATTGCTGCAGTGGCTCACGCAATTACACGTGGAGCTGCGTCCTTGGCTGTCAGTTCTGTACGATGACGCCACTCGTCCCCGGCTACATCTTATTCAATTGACCCTGCCTACTGGACACAGCTGGATGCGTGTTTGAGCGATGCCCTGGTCTTCATTACAGTCCCTCCAGGCACGGCCATTCCTCTGGGTTCAAAGCTGATAAGCGCTCGCCACGTCGACATCACATGCAAGGCTGATCTGCGTAAGGTCCCTCTGACTTCTAAAAGGATTTGGCTGCGCATTGCAGATCCACAGGCACGTTTTCGTCGGCTCTCCAAACTGAGTCGGAAGCTGCTATCTTTCTGGTACGATTGGAGCCAGTCTTATCACTTCCATGAATGCCTTCATTTGCCTCCGCGACGTCTGGATTGTGTCATGGCGGCGGACGCATTTGCTTCGGGCGAAGAGCTGGGTATTGGCGGTTTCATCCTGGCTCGCAACCAGTGTGGTTCAGCGAAAGGTACAACTTATCTGACTTCAAGTACCTTGATCTGCCTCTTCATCGTGATGCCCAGAGGGACATATCCTGCTGGGAAACACTGGCTCAAGTGGGCCTGATGCTTCTCTTTGCTCATTTGTGCCCTGGTGGACGCATGCGACTTACGCTGCCATCTTTTTCGGATAACACGGGAGCCGAGGCAATTTGCGCGAAACTTCTGACGACGAAGACTCCACTTTGCTTTTTTGCGCAACTGGTAGCTATGGTCAGCACGCGTCTGGGCATTCGGCTGGACGTCCAACACATTTCTGGCGAGCGGAATGAGGAAGCAGATCTACTTTCACGCTGGGACACCCAAGCTCCTCTTGGAGATCGCTGGAATCTTGATATGCGATACCGCTTTTCTGTTCAGGATTTCTTTGAGCAACGGCATGATGTCAGAATTTTCCCTGCGGATTCCAGAATACTCTGGAAGCTCCCGCGGTGAGATCGCAGATGCTGTGGATGGTCATCCCGGAATGACTTCCATCGCTGCGGGACAGCTTCAGTGCGCAACAGGCTTCTTTTCTGAGAGCCATGTCCGAGTTTCTTTAAAGACCGGTGTACGCCTCACTTAAGTGTGGGGTGTGGTCATCGGCGAGTCGTTCACCTTCTCTTTCGACAGTGGCAGTGTTTGTTTGGGGCTGGTTGCATATCGTCTCAGTGATCTTACGTTTGGTTGCGAACTTTACTTCGGCGACATGCTTT